CGTGAGGAGGAACTTGCTAAGAGAAGTCAGGAAAGAGGGGAAAAAGAAAGCAATTTCTTGGGTGGGAGATATTACAACAGTTCCAGACCCTGACACAAACAGGAGTGTGCAATAAAATTACCATCACCATTAGGGGACGTAGCTATGTGGACACACCGATGGAGCAATGATTCCCAAACTGACCAGTCCAATCAATTCTAAAAGCCTGTGAACCAAAGAGGCAATCATTTTTCAACCTGTTAGTCTGAATTTATTAATTAGATAATTTGATCAACATCTGGTATTGGGATGAATGCAAAATTGGTAGATGCAGTAAAATTAATTGATTTGATGAACATTTTTTCCTTAAATTTAGTGGTCCTTTGACTGATTTGGAAAGTTGCTTTTAGAACCTTTCAGAATTATTGTGAGTGTAAGTGTCATTATTCCACCTCAGCAGCTAGGTGACCCCTAAGGCAGTGGATTACCTTCTTTGTAGCTCATCTGGAGGAAATAAATAATGATGATTTGATTTTCTTTAGGGGTTTCATGAGTCAGCACCTAAAGCCTATTAATTCTTCCACAGACAGAGTTTTCAATGTTCTGGGTCTTGGGAAGGAAAATAAGGAGGCTATCTTTTGGATTTCATCAGCCACTATTTTTCTAAAGTAGTATTTCCCAACACTTTCCTTGAAGAATAAGGAAAACACTACTATTACTCCCTGTCACCTCTTTACTGAAGGTACTGAATTCTGAGGCATTTCAGCTCTTTTAAGCCTGGATTGAAAAGTCGCATCAGGTTTCAGATTGTCGTGCCTTCCTAGGTCAAGAGCAGCTTGCCGTGCAAAGGTCAGTTTTACCATTTTACCCGGCTTTATCCCCACCTGTACTACACTCCTACATCCTTTTAGTGAAAAGTGCATTACTTTGAAGTTGAAGGCTGCATTCAAGCAGGCAAAGCAGCTTTACTCCCACCCTGAGTTGGAACAGATAATGGATTCTACAGAGCAGGTGTCCAACTGGCCAAGGTCACCGAACAATGACTCAGTGTAAATATCCCAATTGCAGTTGTGGACAAACTCAGCACATGACAGGTGCAGCTGATGAGTGTCCTTTTGTCTAGCTGTCACAGAGGTCCGAGGACACGGAACAAATCAAATGAAGAAGCTCGTGCCTGCCTTAGAAGGTTATGTCTTCACTAATCCCGTAGCAACCAGCAGGCTGGCATTACTTGGTGCAAATTTCTGCACTGATGTGTTTGGATGATTTTGTTTCTCAGGAGCTATTTGTTCAGGGGGAAAAATGGAAAGCAGAATGATGAAGTCAGTTTTCTCCTGACATTTCTAAGGATGAATACTTGTGAAGGACAAGCAGGCAATCTCTCCTTAGAAATAGTCCAAAGAACCTAGAAAGTCCTTCAGAGTTGCAAATAGAAGATCGCAACTTCAAGAAAAACATGAGTAAGAAGATCAGAAGACTGCTTCTGGGAAAGAAGAGGAATTATAACCAATATGCTACAAGTTCATGGTTTTCAGCACTGTACTGGAGCTTCAATTTGAGATGATGTCTAATAGTCAAAGGCAAAGGCATCAAATACGTACAAGGTGTGAATGATTAAAGAAACAAAAAATATGGGTCTAACTAGGATTTTTTAAAATATAATTGGCAAGACGAAGAGTTTTAGGAATACCCTTGAGTTATAGAGGGCTAGGGTACCATTACGATACGGTTTCACTCATGTGTGGACTACAGGAAACAGTGCAAGGGACCATAAGGGAAGGAGGGGAAACTGCATGGGGCAACATCAGAGAGGGAGACAAACTATGAGAGACTCTTAACTCCAGGAAACAGACTGAGGGTGGCTGGAGGGGAGGTGGGTGAGGGGATGAGGTAATTGGGCATGGGCTTTGGAGAGGGCCCATGATGTGAAAAGCACTGGGTGTTATACTCTATGTTGGCAAATTGAATTTACATAAAAAATAAAATAGTTTATCGTACTTTTTCTGATTTCATAGGTAAAAAGAAGCCTAAAGCAAGGCTAAATGTTCTGAAATTGAATAAGAAGTAGAAACTTCCATTGCTTTATATTTTCAATGTAATGAAGAGGTCAGCAAACATTTCTCTCAAGGGCTATATTGAGAGGAAAAAATAATAGTAACTCTTGTAGGACTAAGAACAGGGTGGACTTGTGAATATAGGTTTATAGAATTTTCCCCATTTCACAAGTATGAAGGCTGAAGTTAAGGGACTTGTTTTATCTTGAGAGTGGAAGAGTACCTTTTGACTGTTAACTTGGTCCTCTTGTTACTTTCTCATGGTGCCTGTAACACTCTAAGTATCAAAAAAAGGGCCTCCAGAATGCTCAGTCCTGCAGAGCTTGCTCATTTCTCCTCCCTCCAGGGTCAGTGCAACAATAGTCGTGTGGGAATGCTTGCCCTTGGTGTTGAAAGAACAAGCTATAACCTTCTCCTCTTTTTCTAAAGATACAGTTGGCTAGCAAATACGTTTGAGCACCTACTGTATGCCAGACATTGTTCTAGTTGCTGGAACACAGAGTCCTTGACTTCGTGGGACTTTTATACTAATGGAGGGATACAATCAACAAACAACAAATAATGGAATCAATCCATCATATCCGATTCTAATAAGTGTTTGGAAGAAAATAATATAGGATGACCTAATAAAAAGTAACTATCTCTGGCAACTTAAGGTGGGGACTGTGGTAGGCCAGGTTTTTCAGCAGGGCTGAGAGCAGGGATTCATCAATCAGGAAGATAGCTGAAGTACCAATCAGAATACCTCAAATAGTAGCCTGAATATTGGAAATGGCATGACATGGACAAGGAGATAACATTTCCAAGATATATTATCATTGTGGACCAGATGGCTCATGCAGTGCTTTGAGTCTGGGCCAAGACATGTGGATGTGCAGGAAAAAAAAAAAAAGACAGCTTCTGGGTTGAAGGTGAGGGTGGGCTTCCCTAGGAGAGATGGAATAATGGCAGTGCTAGTGTGACATCACCTCCTAACCAACTCTGAAGTTATCCCATATGATATTAAAAGGGGGGGGACAATGGCTGATACATCCCACACTTATCATGTACCGGGCAAATATTTTACATGGGGTAACTCATGTATGGAAATGATCTCACAGACGCTAATTGTCTATACTTTACAAGTAAGGAAAGTGAGGCACAGGTGCTTAAGGAACTGTCCTGTGAAAAGCTAAATCATGCCGCCCCAATGGTGTCCATATTCTAATACTCAGAAGCTGGGAATATATTATCTCACATGGTAAGAGAGTTCGCAGATGTAATTTAATTACAAAGTTTGAGAAGGGGAGATCATTCTGGATTATGTGGCTTTACCCACTGCAATTACAAGGATCTTTAAAAGAATAAGAATGGAGATGGAAGCAGAGGTAAGAGTGATGTGGCCAGGAGCCAAGGAATACAGGCCGCTTGTAGATGCTGGAAAAGGCAAGAAAATAGATCCTCCCCTGGAGCTTCCAAAAGGAATGTCACCTTGATTTTAGCCCAGTGGAACTGATTTGAGACCGCTGGCCTCCAGAACTATAACATAATAAATTTGTGTTGCCTTAAGCCACTAGATTTGTGGTAATTTGTTACAGCACCAATAGGAAACCAATACATGGCCCAAGGCCATAGAGTTAGAAAGAGTGAGGGCAGGAATTAAATTGAGGCAATCTGGTGCCAGTGCTGGAGATTTAACCTTTGTGTTGTAGGGCCCCTCACAGGCAGAATAAAATTTCAGGTTGAATGCAAATCAGTGTCTCCTAGGTATTTCTCTTATGCTCAGAATTCCAGGCCCCAGAGAAACTACAAAAGGAGAAAGATGATCCTATGGCAACTGGTACACATTAGTCTTCAGTCCTGGACCCACGAAATCACTAAACAAACCTCCCATTTTAGAGATGAGGAATTTGAAAACTAAAGGGTTGTGAGTTTGAAGTTAAGCAGCTGGTTGGTGAAAAAGTTACACAACGGGGGCAGGTGGTGATGTGGAAAGACCCACTGATCTCAGCGCCTGTATAGAACTTAAGGAAGGAGGTTGTGTGGCAAGTGAGGATCAAAGGAGCCAGGCTTCCTGAAACCCGTGTTTCTCATTATTGAGGTAGGAGGGGTGTGAGAAGAAACATTAATTACACAACTACCCAAGGTAATACTTTCAGAAGAACCCAAAGTTCTCACTGAAGCAATCTTTTAGCACCTGCGATTATTATAAGCCCCAAATATCAGCCACTTTTACATCCTGGTCACTCGTGCTCTTTAATACATAAAGTGGGTGCTCATGAATATCAACTGAATCAAACAAAACGCTCATGTCTGCATCCTTAAAGCAGCACTTTTCAAAATGTAAAGGGCATGCAACCCCCACTCCCCTCCCGCCCCGGGAACCTCATTAAAATGCAGATTCAGAGTCAGTAGGTCTGGCTGGAGACCGAGGTGGGGCATTTCTAGCAAGTTACCACGCAGTGCTCTTATCGCTGGTCCGTTGTCTTTACTTTTCAAGTTCCCTGAAAATGAGACTTCCCCATCCATATGGAAAACATAAGTCATAGAAAGTTTGAGCACTTAATGAAAGTATTCAACGATGTCATGGAAATAGACTGTCCCCGTTTAATGAGGCACGCCTGCCCTTCCAATAAAGGGAGCAAACGAGATGCCAGGTTTCAGTGAAAAGAGTTGGAACCCTGCCCCCAGATTATCTGCTACCTCCTCTGCGCTCTGCCTTCCAGAGGCAGGGAAGGGGGTAACGAGAGGAACGGGGCGTCCAGAAGCTCCCATGCCTCCGCCCCCCCTTCATTCTCAGCCTTTAAGGAGCATCTGCCCCTTTTTAACCGCTGAGGTCAAGGGCGAACACTCCCGAGCACAGCGCCCGCGCCCCCCTCCGCGCCCTTGCCCTGGCGGAGACGGCCGACGCGCGTGCGTGCGCGCTTGGTATAAATAGATCCCAGGCGGCCGCCACCGGACAGAGTCGGGCTCCGGGCACCGCGGGCCATGGCAGGCGAGGACCACCAGTGGCAGGGCAGCATCCTCTACAACATGCTCATGAGCGCCAAGCAGACGCGCGCGGCTGCGGAGGCGCCCGAGGCGCGGCTGGGGGGCGCGTGCTGGGGCTGCTCGTGCGGCGCGGAGCCCGCGCCGGGCCGAGGGGCGCTGCCGGGGGCGCGGACCACGGCGCTCCTGTACCGCTGCTGCTTCTGCGGGGAAGAGCACCCGCGCCAGGGCAGCATCCTCTACAACATGCTCACGAGCGCCAAGCAGACGCGCGCGGCTGCGGAGGCGCCCGAGGCGCGGCTGGGGGGCGCGTGCTGGGGCTGCTCGTGCGGCGCGGAGCCCGCGCCGGGCGGAGGGGCGCTGCCGGGGGTGCGGACCACGGTGCTCCTGTACCGCTGCTGCTTCTGCGGGGAAGAGCACCCGCGCCAGGGCAGCATCCTCTACAGCTTGCTCACGAGCGCCAAGCAGACGCACGTGGCGCCGGAAACGCCCGAGGCACGGCCTGGGGGCGCGTGGTGGGGCCGCTCTTACAGCGCCCAGGGCCTGGGGGGCAGAGAGCAGCTGCCGGGCCGGCAGGCCGTACCGTACCTGTCCCGCTGCTGCTTTTGCGGGGACGAGCACCCGCGCCACGGCAGCATCTTCCAGCGCTTGCCCGCGAGCGCCAAGCAGACGCACGCGGCTCGGGAGATGCAGCCCGCGGCCCCCTGGTGGGACCCCCGGTGTGACGCGCAGCGCCGAGTGGCCCTCAAGAGTCCACAGGTGGTCTGCGAGGCCGCCTCGGCAGGCCTGTTGAAGACGCTGCGCTTTGTCAAGTACTTACCCTGCTTCCAGGTGCTCCCTCTGGACCAGCAGCTGGTGCTGGTGCGCAACAGCTGGGCGCCGCTGCTCATGCTCGAGCTGGCCCAGGACCGCTTGAACTTTGAGACGGTAGAGACCTCGGAGCCCAGCCTGCTGCAGAGGATCCTCACCACCAGGCGGCGGGAGACCGCGGGCGACGAGCCGCCGCCTCCGACCCCGCAGCCGCCACCCTTGGTACCGCCGCGCGAGGCCGGGCGTTTGCCAACGGCCGCTGAAGTCCAAGCCATCAAGTGCTTCCTTGCCAAGTGCTGGAGCCTGGACATCAGTACCAAGGAGTACGCCTACCTCAAGGGGACCGTGCTCTTTAACCCGGGTAAGCGCGAGACCTCGGGCGCGGGCTTTCCTCCGTTCAGAAAAACTCCGGGCAATGCCTGGCGAGGCACAGGCACTTAAGAGTTTTCCGTGGTCAGGGGAGGGTCGGGGAACCAGCGAAGAATCTCGGGTAACTCAGCAGAGTTGGGGGAACTCCAGAAAGCACTCCTCGTGGGTGGGCTGCTGTCAGATGCTCAACAGAGAGCGGGGGGGATTGGGTGATGGAGTTTAGTACTTATCTCTCTCCCCCTTCTGTTACTAAGGAAAAGTTTGTGCCATCAAGGCACAGGGCTGGTCCTCCTCTAGTCTTTTAAATCCAGTAGTACAGCTATATAAAAAAAACGCACAACTTTGTGTTCACTGCAAATTCTGCCACATGTCTTTCTGAAACCCAGTTCTGAGGTGAACTACAACTTTTTGTGGAAGGAAATCTATTCAGGCTCCTAAGAAAGGAAACCTTTGTTAAGGAGTCCTAGAGTATCTCCCAGGGACACTGTCATGCAGGACGCTGGACTTGCCTTTCATGGGACCGCTTCTGAATGATCATGTTTATGGTCCTAAGCAGCTGGACTATGTCCTCCTCAGTGTGTCGGTATCAGGGTACTAAGGGGGCAGGGAAAAAACACTAGGGACTGCCAGCAGGAGCACTGTCTTTTAGAGCTTGCAGAGACCCTAGGGACCTCCTCATCAGGCCCCTCTGCCCTTCACCCTGACTCCATCCCATTTGCAGATTAGGTAACCTAGTCCCAAGGGACTTTACTCCACAGTTATGGCCAGTGAGTCCTGGAACATGGATCTCCCAGCCCCCATGGGATGTCTGCTGCACACACTTTCAAGTTGTCTGTTAGGTGCTGGACACTGCTCCCCACACACCAACCACATCATGAGAGAACATCTCCATGGACTACCCAGCACCTTTTCTTGAGTATGTGCCATTACTAGAGCTGTCTTTGACCAGAATCCCTCCAAAAGGGTCACAAGTGGTCACAAAGTTTCCAGGCAGCTTGAGTTGGGATAGTTTTTATGATGCTCCCTCCACACCTTTTCCCTCCCTAACACCAGGAGTCTCTGGTTATGCTCCTGCCTAGCATTTTGTGAAAGGGCACAGAGCAGTATCTAATAGGATAATATTTCATTCAGAACTCACATTTCAAGACCTAGAGACCTCAGCTCATCCCAGGGATCACTGTAGGTCACCTTTTGCTTATATTGTTGTTTTCCAAACCTGGCTGTGCATAAAGGGAGGGGGGCACTTGTTCAAAGTCTTACCAGGTTCCTCCCTTGGAGGTTCTGATTTGGTAGCTGTGGTCCAGGGTCTGCAAATCCGCATTTGTAGTAAGTGCCCAAGATGGTTCTTCAGATCATTCTTCAGCCAGTGTTCTTTTTTTTTTTCAGCCAGTGTTCTTAAACATCTACCATGTGCCTAGCTCTGTTGGAATATAAAAGAAAAGCAGGGGCTCAGCTTCTTGAACTTTACATTCCACTAGTTTCCCTCTTTCCCTCCACCCTGTTTAGCATACTCTGGTCATACTCTCTCTCTCTCTCTCTCTCTCTCTCTCTCTCTCTCACACACACACACACACACACACACACACACACCTCCCTTATTCTATCTAGTTCTCTGAATCCTCTCACTGTGACTTTAATCAGCTAAGCTGAGTGTGTTTTCAACACAAATGCACTTGCTAAGTGTGTGCCTTTTCTTAGATGTTTATCCTTTTGTTGTGAATCCTCTGATCTTTATGTTTAAACACCTTTTTAAATTGTGGAGTCCATCTGTCCACATTTTCTCTTTCCTGAATTTGCTTTATGGGCATACCTTTTGCAAGGAGGCGGTGAGGGTGCAGTGAAAAAGGAGAGTATAGTAGGAAAGCAGAGGAAAGTGACTCGAGTTCACTCAAGTTTTAAGGAGCCATGAATCCGGACCTAGAGGAGCTTTACAGTCTTGGTGGAACTTCTTGCAAGCCTCCTCTTCCCCTCATCAATGGAATCCACTCGAATGGGGTCTCAAGTGACCTTAGGGAGTAGGGGGGTAATGTATGGAGGGGGTAATTGGAAATAGAATATGGAGTACAGATGTGGCTTAATTTCATTCTCACTTTATCAGACATATTTGCCTATGATAGGAATGGCTCGCCTGTTACTATTTTTTAAAGAATACCTGCTGGTCCTGCTACTCTGTTGGTCACCATATTGTTTTTGAAATACTTTACTTCTGGATTTTATAGGAAAGGGAAAGAAAGCGATTGCCATCTTCACTGACATTGTTTAAACAGCGCAGTAAGTTGGTCATTATTTAAATACAAGTTAAAGAACTTTACAGTAATATTACTGTCCTGCAGGATCAAAGAACTTTTAAAAGCAGCCTCCTCTTACCACAGTCTTTATACAACTTACAGGCACATTATCTTCGCTTTTACTAGAGTTATCACACTATCCTGCAAGAAGGTCAAGCATTCCCTGTTTGAAAAGTTACTTTTGAGCCTGTTGAAATTGAAGATGTTTGCATATTTTTAGCTTTTTAATGCCTGTAAGACAGTGCTTTTAAAGACCTCTTTGTTTAGTATTTTTAAAAAGATGCTTTTGCAATATTCATTAGAGTCAGTTTTTAAAAAATCTTCCCCAATACAGAAATCATGCTACAAGGAGCTAAATGGTCAGTATTATCTCTGAAATTACTATGGGACTCAAGACTAAAATCAGCCTATAGGCCAACAATTAGAATGAGACTCACAAGTCACTATTTGTGGCTGTGAAGTTTACCACTGTCAGCTAGGTAATCATGGTATTGCTGTGGGAAATTCAACAGAAGATGGTGAAATATTTGACATCTGGCAAAACCTGTAGTCATTCTACAGTAGCCTGCTTTCCCATAGGTAAAAGGTCAAGGTGCTCACTTCTTGAAGTAATCTTAATGTCTTCCTATGTGTACAGTGAACTAGAGCCATAATTCATTAAACGATACTCTACTGTCCTAGTGAATAAATGTGCATATGCTGGCTCAGGGCCAGCAGTTTTTAGAAGTGAGGATACAAACACAGTGCCTATAAAATAATTAAATGGTATTTCACTCTCCCAAGCATTGCTTCTAAAAGCTTATAACTAGTGCGGCATTTTTTCCTTGTTCTAGAGAGCCCTCTTAAGCAGGAAGCTTTGGACTCTTGTTTAATGTGGGAAGGGGCAGAAACGGATGAGCAAAGGATGCCAAGTGAGCTGTTCACCTACAATAAAGAGACTTTGCTCCCTTTTTCTCCTCCAGACCTGCCAGGCCTTCATTGCGTGAAGTACATTCAGGGACTCCAGTGGGGAGCTCAGCAGATACTCAGTGACCATATCAGGATGACCCGCAGGGGGTACCAAGCCAGATTCGCTGAACTGAATAGTGCCCTCTTCCTGCTGAGATACGTCAATGCTGATGTCATCGTGGAGCTATTCTTCAGGCCCATCATTGGTTCGGTCAGCATGGATGATATGATGCTGGAGATGCTCTGTGCAAAGTTATGAAGGCGTGGGGGCCACACAGGTGCAGTTCACCGTGAAAAAATATAAGGAGCCAGAGGCAGAAGAGTGTAAAAAAAATAATGCCAAATAAACTTTCTTATTTTTATATGCATATTTTTGTATTCAATTAAAGAAAAACTTTAGTTATAGACAATTAGAAAATCCTCTGATCCATACTGTTTGATCATGAAGGAACACATGTGCCAACAGGTGACACTTCTCGGTACATCTCCAAGGAAGGAGCAGGCTACTACTCTAATAAGCTATTGTCATACCTTTAGTGACTCTCTCCATTGAATCTGCTAAAATCAAATTTATAATACTAAATTATAATAAACATTACGATGTTGACCATTGATTATAAAAAAAATTCAGAGCTTAAGCAAGGCCTTTAAAAATATAAAAAACTGGGAGGATCCCTGGGTGGCTCAGCAGTTTAGCGCCTGCTTTTGGCCCAGGGCGTGATCCTGGAGTCCCGGGATCAAGTCCCGCATCGGGCTCCCTGCATGGAGCCTGCTTCTCCCTCTCTCTCTGCCTGTGTCTCTGCCACTCTCTCTGTGTCTCTCATGAAAACAAAACCTTAAAAAATATCAGAAACTTAGCCAACATAATAAAAAATTAAGTTACCTTTGGAGGTGGCATCAGGACATTTAATTGGCAAGGGTTGACTTGGCTCTCTCTTCACTTCCGCTTCCACTGGCTGTGTAGAAGGCTGTCCTTGTACCAACTGGAGTTAAGTGGCAATCACAGAGACACCTGAAAGTAAAGTCAGAGATTTTCAGAATTTTCGTTTAAGACTTTATACAATAAAGTTCAACAAGAAACTTATATTCTATAAAGAGGCATTATAGTTCTAGGAAGCGCAACATTGTTATAAAACCCTAATGGTATCTCACCCTTCAGATACATATATAACTGTCATGTTGAACAAGCACAGCATAGAATCATAAAGTGACTTTATAGGGGCAGCAAGAGTCAACAATAATCTGTAGAACCAGTTCTTCCTTCTCCCTGGATAAAGCTTAGGGCACTAAATGTTTATTCACTTATAGGTAATAAATTTCCTGTTAGTGATTAATACATCTAAGCCCAGGGTACTAACCCAATGCAGGCAGTCTTAAACTTTTGCGCAGACCCCTCTGGCAGCCAGGGAAACGGGAAATGCTTGGATGCCTCAGAATCAGGCTCTCAGAATAATGCAGCAAATAATGTACGTAGGATTACAAAGGAAATCAATCATGTCAAAATATAATAGTAAAAATGTCAAATTTTAAAAAAACTTTAAAATCTATAATGTATATGCTTCCTTATGAATACATTAAGTAAGAAACTAGTGGCAGGTCTAATATCTACCTTCATTTCAAAGCAGTGATCGATGTAATTGAAATTTCAAAATAGTCTAGAGCATCTACAGTATGATAAGAAAATATGACACTTCCATTGGTGATTGTATTTGGGAGACCTCAAGATCAGCACCCCATTCAGATTTGTTAGAAGTTCTCACAGGACACAGCATACAGTGGCGTTCAGAGCAAGACTTACTACGGTGATGTGGCAAGGATACACAACCTGATCGTGAGGGGGGAAGGCCCAGGCTGGCCGAGTCTGGAGGAATCCATGTGTCCATGTACAGGCTTCCTTTTGCTCTCTCTCTCCCACCAGGGGTCGACCCAGAGCACACTCTTCCCCAGCAATGAAAATTCAGCAACACGTATGTGATACTTCTGCCCAAGGAAGCTCTTTGAGACTCAGGGTTTAGACTTTTTACTGGGGACTGCTCACATAGACACCTTTCATCTAGCGTGGACCAAAATTCCAAACACAGAGAAAGGAAGCAAATGCTCTCAGTATAAACCCCAAGGTTTGCACATTTTAGGCCCAGTGAGACCCTCTTACGAGTCAAGGAAGGGCAGGAACACTCCCCAAACGAAAGTTGCCAGATATCAGCCAAGGATCAACCTAGCAAGGAGGCCACTGGAAGGACAGCAGTCCCCCTCTTGCTATGTTAACTCGTCCGCATAACTCACTCCCTGGGCCCATGGCCAAGATGTCTTTACAGAATTATCATCAGGAGGACTCCACACAACAGACTGAGGCCAACCTAAGGTATTGATCTCATGTATGCCTTTTGGGGATTCTGGACTGAAGCAGTTAACACAGAGACCATGAGCCATCAAGCTCTGTCTTAGAAAGCCAGCTGGCTTCCTTCATAACTTCCTGTATGAACCTTTTTTTTCTTTAACCTGGCCTGAGGGATCATTTCTGGCCCCGCACAGCCTGGCCAGTAAGATGAAGCTGTCCCCAAGCCTTCCCAGGCTGAGGCAGCATCATGATGGCCAGGGCCCACATCCAAGAAATATAGTCCCTGAGGGTACATGTGTCCCTGGAAACAGAGTTCACAAAATTCAGGCACCACACACAGGCCAGGCACTGCAGTAGAGGCTAACAGGGCCCCCACTGTGGCTTGCTGGTGTGGTTCCTCCTGCCTCAGGCCTCCCACTGGTGCCTCTCAGAGGAAGTGCCTGATGTGGTCAGTCCCAGAGAGTTCTGTCAGCAACACTAGTCCGTGGCCTGCCGAGTGGAGAGGGCATGTGGAGGTGCTCTGTGAGGACTGTGCGGGACCCCACAGCTCAGAGTGACACTATGGCCCACGACCTGGACCTGGAAGTCCCCCTGGGATCTGAAGCCCTCAGGGCAGCTGGCACAGGCAGCGTGATTTTCCTTCAGGAAGAGGGGATAGCTTCTGAGAGCAGTTCTGGAAAACAGAGATCATTAACACCCCACCTCCATCCCCTACCCCATGCCTTCCCATGTACCAAGGTTTTGTTGTTCCAACATCAGTGTGTCCCACTCACTAATCCTAGCTTTATGATTTCTCCTAATCATTTCACTTTTTTTTGCCCAGACATTTCGTCTGAAACAGTTGTGTGCGAGAGGGACACAAGCATTTCACAGAATAACATTTTTATACTACTTAACCAGAAGAATCCATTCATATTCTTATTTGCCCGTCATTGGGGCAAAGAAATGCTCAGGGTGAAATCCTGATTTTTTTCAATATATTTTTTTTTTGAAAACATTGAATATTTTATTTTATTTTATTTTTTTATATATAAATTAATTTTTATTGGTGTTCAATTTACCAACATACAGAATAACACCCAGTGCTCATCCCGTCAAGTGTCCCCCTCAGTGCCCGTCACCCATTCACCCCCACCCCCCGCCCTCCTCCCCCTCCACCACCCCTAGTTCATTTCCCAGAGTTAGAAGTCTTTATGTTTTGTCTCCCTTTCTGATATTTCTCACACATTTCTTCTCCCTTCCCTTATATTCCCTTTCACTATTATTCATATTCCCCAAATGAATGAGAACATACACTGTTTGTCCTTCTCCGGTTACTGTGGCCAAGTTCAAAAAGGGTGTTGCCTGAGTTCTCCTCTGGGATTTTGATGGAATCTTGTCTCACATTTAGATCTTTCATCTATTTTGAGTTTATCTTTGTGTATGTTGCAAGAGAGTGGTCCAGTTTCATTCTTCTGCATGTGGATGTCCAATTTTCCCAGCACCATTTATTGAAGAGACTGTCTTTCTTCCAGTGGATCGTCTTTCCTCCTTTATCGTATATTAGTTGACCATAAAGTTCAGGGTCCACTTCTGGGTTCTCTATTCTGTTCCATTGATCTATATGTCTGTTTTTGTGCCAGTACCACACTGTCTTGATGACCACAGCTTTGTAGTACAACCTGAAATCTGGCATTGTGATGCCCCCAGATATGGTTTTCTTTTTTAAAATTCCCCTGGCTGTTCGGGGTCTTTTCTGATTCCACACAAATCTTAAAATAACTTGTTCTAAGTCTCTGAAGAAAGTCCATGGTATTTTTGATAGGGATTGCATTAAACGTGTAAATTGCCCTGGGTAAAATTGACATTTTCACAATATTAATTCTGCCAATCCCTGAGCGTGGAATATTTTTCCATCTCTTTGTGTCTTCCTCAATTTCTTTCAGAAGTGTTCTATAGTTTTTAGGATATATTTTGAGAACCATTTGAATGGTAAATGGTTCTCCAACCTTTTATTTTCAGGTTGTAGGTGTCTTTCTGTCTAAAATGAGTCTCTTGTAGACAGCAAATAGATGGGTCCTGTTTTTTTATCCAGTCTGAAACCCTGCGCCTTTTGATGGGGTCATTAAGCCCATTCACGTTCAGAGTTACTATTGACAGATATGAGTTTAGTGTCATCATGATATCTATTTAGTCCTTGTTTTTGTGGATTGTTCCACTGAACTTCTTCTTAAAGGGGAATTTTAAGAGTCCCCCTTAAAATTTCTTGCAGAGCTGGTTTGGAGGTCACATATTCTTTCAGTTCCTGCCTGTCTTGGAAGCTCTTTATCTCTCCTTCCATTTTGAATGAGAGCCTTGCTGGATAAAGTATTCTTGGTTGCATGTTCTTCTCATTTAGGACCCTGAATATATCCTGCCAGCCCTTTCTGGCCTGCCAGGTCTCTGTGGAGAGGTCTGCCGTTACCCTAATATTCCTCCCCATGAAAGTCAGGGACTTCTTGTCTTTTGCTGCTTTAAGGATCTTCTCTTTATCTTTGGAATTTGCAAGCTTCACTATTAGATGTCGAGGTGTTGAACGGTTTTTATTGATTTTAGGGGGGGATCTCTCTATTTCCTGGATCTGAATGCCTGTTTCCCTTCCCAGATTGGGAAAGTTTTCAGCTAGGATTTGTTCAAATACATATTCTGGCCCTCTGTCCCTTTCGGCGCCCTCGGGAACCCCAATTAAACGTAGGTTTTTCTTCCTTAGAGTGTCATTTATTTCCCTTAATCTGTCTTCATGGTTCTTTAATTGTTTATCTCTTTTTTCCTCAGTTTCCCTCTTTGCCATTAACTTGTCTTCTATGTCACTCACTCGTTCTTCCACCTCGTTAACCCTCGTCGTTAGGACTTCTAGTTTGGATTGCATCTCATTCAATTGATTTTTAATTTCTGCCTGATTGGATCTAAAT